TCGAAGGGTCCCAGGCCGATGGGTGGGAAGGGGGGCCCCAACGGGACCGGGGGTGTGGGGCGGGGCCTGGGGGGGCCTACCGCCTCCAGGAGGCCGTGCAGCTCCAGCGACTGGCTCAGCAGCGCCCTCCTCCGCCCGACGTCTGCCGCAAACTGGTCGCACAGGTGCCCGAGCTCGTGGCACTTGGGGCGGATAGAGTCCACGGCATAATGCTTGTGGCTGATGAGCTGCTCGCCCTCCAGGGACAGGGCACGGGCTCGCCCCACGGCCACCTGCGGCAGTGTCAGACACGCAGCTCACCTGGCGCTCACTGCTGCCTGCTGGGGGTGGGCGTGGTGGGGAGTGGGGGGGGCCAGGGGTCTGTGGGGGGGGCCAGGTGGCCGTCCCTCCACCTGCCCACGTGGCTCAGGGCCCGGGGCTTCTGGAGACAGTGGGCGCAGTGCTGCCAGGCAGCCCGCCACGCCGGGCCCTTACGCTGGACTTCTCCTCGAAGCTGGCCAGGTCCTTCAGGAGGTGCTCCGCGTGTGCCAGGCTGTTGCCCACGTCAGTGAAGGTGGCTATCTTCTGGGCCAACGCGTCCAAGGCGGCCTTGACCTGAGACAGCAGGGGCGAGAGAGCAGAAGCTCAGAAGAGCCACAGCTGAAGGAGAGGAGGGAGACGCTGTGGACACGGGGTGCAGGGCGGAGGGGACCCGGACCTCCTCTCAGGAGGGCAACAAGAGGGAAATGTCCTCCTTTCAACAGAGCATCCAGGAGAGCCTGCTGCCGACCTCACAGGTGTGGTGCTGCTGAGGGACGCCTGCCCAGTCTCACCACCGCATTCAAGTGGTGGAGGCGCTGTCCGGTGCAATACGGCAGGAAGATTAAAAACATAAACAAAAAGAAACACAGATTGAAAAGGAAGGAATCACGCCGTTCCTGTCTGTACGTGGCCAGATCGTGTCCATGGAGAACCCCCAAAGCTTTACAAAATGACTCCAAGACTGAGTGAGTTCAGCAAAGTTTCAGGAGACAAGGCGAGTGCGCGAGCCTCGGTTGTATGGCAACAGACACGCGGACGCCGAAACTAAGGCTTCAACACCACCCACAATTCTTTAAAAAAGGAAACACACGTGTAGAAGTCAAACAAAATGTACTGAACTGGTGAGAACCACACACGCTGGAGAAAGGAACCCTGACACGTGGGGAGCCGCGTGCGCTCGAGGCGCGGAGACCAGCACAGTCACGGCGCCGACTCTCCCCCGAGGGCGCACCGGCTCCCCACGATCCCTGACAACGCCCCGCAGGGTCTCCCGAAGGCGCAGACAAGATTATTTTAAATTTATATGGACAGACAAAGGAACCAGAATGGCTAAAACCACCGTGAAGAATGAGTGGGAGGGAAGGGGAGGCCACACCTGCAGGAATGGAGACTGTGGGGTATAGATGGACAGGATTCCGACCCGGACCCTGACCCGGACCCGGACAGGGCGTCCAACTGATTTTCGACCAAAGGGGGAAGGAGCCCTGATGGAGGAAAGGCTGTCTTTCAACAAGTGATGCTGGAGGAACTCAACACCTAGAAATTAAAACAAAATGGACCAAATTCTCATACTTCATACAAAAATTAACTTGAAATGGATCATGAGCACGAGTATAAGATTATACACGTCTAAGAAAAAAAACCTTAGGGGAATATATCTGGGATCTGGAATTTAGGATTGACACCACGAGTATGATCCGAAAAGGAAAAACTGATCACTTGGACTTTATCAAGATTAAAAACCCTGCTTTGTGAAAAACCCCGTGAGGAGGGTAAAGAAGGTGACAGCCCAGAAGGAAACGTTCTCAAACCACAAATCTGACAAAGGACAGTATGTACAGCACAGGAAGAACTCTCAAAATGCCAAAACGAAACCAAAGCCACCGGGTCAGAACCGGGGCAGGAACAGAGATGTTCTGGGAAAGGATGTGTGATGAGGACTAAGCCGCGGGGGCATCAACGCCGACACCGTCAGGAAGACGCAGGCTCGAACCACGGGGAGGCGGCAACACGCAGCCCTCGGAAATGTGCGCACAGTGAGGGGTGAACCACACCAAGCGCCGTGAGGCCGCGGGGCAGCTGCATCACTGCGCTGGCAGGGACGTGGAGCGGTACAGCCACCTGGAAACAGCCTGCCGTTTCTTAAAGAGCTAAGCCCAGGAGTGGGGCTCCTGCCTGGGCACTTAGCTCAGAGAAAGGAGAATACGTTCACACAAAACCCAGAGACGCAGGTTTACGACAGCTTCATCTGTAACAGCAAAAACGCGGAAACAGCCCAGACGACCTTCAGCAGGTGAGCGGGCAACCACAAGGTTGTCTACGCCGTGGACCAGTAACTACCCAGCAATAACCAGGACGAACTACGGTCCACGTAACTACCTGGCTGCATCTCCCGGCAGGCCTGCCGAGTGACGAGCTAACCCACCAGGTTACGTGCTGTGTGATTCCATTGAGAGAACATTCTCGAAGCAACGCTGTGGGAATGGAGAGCGGACTAGTGGTCGGCAGGGCTCAGGACGCGGACGGGGTCGGGTGGGGGGAGGCAGGTGTCTATAAAGGGTGGGGACGGGGGTCCTGCGCTGGCTGTGTTGGTGTCGGTCCCGCACAGTGACACTGAGCTAGTTTGGGAAGATGCTGCCATTGGGGGAACTGGGTGAAGGGACAGTGGTCTCTGGATCACTCCTCGTAACTGCACGTGAGCCCACGATTGTCTCTAAGTGAAGAGCCTGGCTGTCTGGAGCGCCTTCCTCGGTCCCACAGAAACGGAGACCAACGACCCTCCACGGGTCCGCGGCGAGCTGCTCACACCGGCCAGGTTCCCGCTCTGCTCGGGGCCCATGGGACCGGTCACCTTGCTGTCCCAGCTGGAGCACGTGCCCCGGCCTTTCAATCCTCAGGGAACGTTTTCCCAAAGAAGTCAGGCCTCTCCGCTGAGGACAGGCTGGAGGGTGGTCCCCCAGGGCTGCTCGCTGCCCCACCCACCGGGTGGCTCCGCGGCCTAGAGTCTGTCACCACCGGTGGGGGGGGCCGGCGGGTGGAGGGGTGGGGGGTTCTCTGCTCCTGGGTGTTCCTGGCTCCCCCGTCTTGACCAGACGTTTCAGGAGGGGAAAGGTGCTGCGGTCCCTTGCACCAGGGCGCGACCACGGGGAGGTCTCAGTGCACGTCTTCGTGTGAACAAATGAGTGACCGGCCGCAAACTGGCTGTTTAACGAGGTGTTTGCTCTGTCCTGTCGCGCTGCCCGCGAGGTGGGCGTACCTCTCACTGTCTATGCCCAGGCCCCGCGCCAGGCCCCCTTGTGGGAGAAGAGAACGCGCAAACGACCACAGGAGCAGCACGGCGCCTCCTGACCAGTTCACAGACCAGGCCAGGGGCGCGCCTGACAACGTGGGAACGCAGCCTTCGTCTGTAGCGGGGCGCTCGCCAGTCACACATTTCCACCCGCCCTGCAGCTCCGCGGGGCTCACTGAGCGCAGCCACCTGGGTACCCAGCCCCGAGGTCTTCCCGGGACCCCTCAGGGGCCCACCTGCAGGCTCCCCCAGCTCTGGGCCACTCACCTCCCGGAAATCCTGCTCAAAATGCCGGAGCTGCAGACACTGCTCGAGTTTCTGCTGATGTTTTGCCCAAAACTCATCAAAGGCGGCCTCGGTTTCATTCAGCTGGGCCAGGAGCCTGGGAGAGAGGACAGGTGGCTGGGCCACGGGAGGGAGCGGCCGCAGGGGCCGTGGAGAACCACCCCTGCCCGCACCCACCGTGCACTCTGCACCGAGCCTTCCCTCCAGGTGGGAGGGGGTGTGTCCGAGGGCTGGAGTGATGGTGGTCTGTCCCCCCCGGGGCCCCTGCCCTCGCCACACGGGGGCACACTCAGTCTCTCAGAGCCGCCTGCTCAGCGAGTTTGTCAATACGTTAAAAGGCTGAGGTGGTAAGGATTTGGGCTCATTATCGACAACTTCAGTTCACGGGGGGACGGAAGCAGAGTGGCCCCACTCGTGCCGCGGACACGGCCCACGGTCACTCCGGCCACAGCGCCACATGCTCCCAGGCCCCAGGCACCCACCTCTGCACGGTGGTCTGACTGTCCAGCTGGTCCTGGTTCAGGCTCTGCTCTGGGCTCTTGGCCAGAGGCTCCCTGAGGCTCTCCAGGACGCTCTGCCCCTCGTCCAGTGCCAGCCTCATGTCCTCCTGCAGGAAGAGCACGGCACCTGGGACCCAGGCCCCGGGGCCCCAGGACTCTGTCCAGGTCAGAGACAGCGCGGGCTCTGTGGGGCACACCCCTCGAGGGCTGCGGTAAGTGGGCACACGGCCGGCCTCAGCACATCTTCCCAGACGCTCTGCTGATGCTGCCTGAGCGCTGGGGAGGAGGCTGGCGCAGGAAGGCGCTCCTCCCACTGCAGTGGGGCAGAGCTAGGGTTACTGGTCTCCCGGGCAGTGGGACAGGAGACAGTGACTGGAAACCAGACCTCCACGTGCCTGCTCTGGTGGCCCATCCCGCTGCCAGGGTCAAAAGGGAGCTTGAAGCTCTCCTGGTGGGGCGGGGGCAGCCCCCAGGGTTGCGGCCTCCATTGACTCAGAGCCCAAAGCACGCAGGCCGGGCCAGACTCGGGAGCACACCCCAGGGACACGTTCATCGGAAGGGGAGATGTGGGCAGTGACGCTCAGCCGTCCCCGCCTACTGGTCCCTGGGGACACAGGGTGGGGGAGGGCAGGGAGGGACATCCTGTCTCCTCTGCCCAGATCCGCAGTAGAAACACCGAGAGGAGAGACCTGCAGCAGGAGAGCGGGGAGCGGGCTCATCCAGACGCACAGGACCCATGTGGGGAGGGCTGAGCTCGCAGCGCCCGCTGCGCTGCTTTGAAGGCGGGTCAGCTCTCACTGCAGACGGCACCCAACTCAGGAGACCCAGAACTCATGCTGGGAGCCCCTCGGCTCTGTGCCCCCACCATCCCGCGCACGGGCGAGGACCTGGGGGCCATGCGCACCTTCGCTCGGTCCCTCTTTTCTGTGTGAGCGAAGAGCACGGAGCTCGTGGACTGGACGTCGTTGGGCAGCTCCGTCTCAGCCAGCTCAGTCCCAAACACCTGCAGCGTCTGTGCCGTCTGCTTAACTGTGAGGGCGAAGCTCTCAATGGCCTCGGGGGGAGGAGGGCACCGTCACAAAGCCGCGTGAGCACCGCACCCTCTGCAGCCCCACCGCCCTCAGGAGCATGGGCCCAAGCGGCCGGTCCACAGCAGCGGGCCCGGCCCCCGCGTCGCAGCCTCACGGCTCCTTCACAGACAGAGGTTCCCACCGCCAGGGCTCTCTGGCCTCCTGAGAGGCGTGAGTGCCGTGAACCCCGCTGGGCTTCGCTTTCATCTGTCTCTGAGCCCAGAGAAAGCGACTCCCGACTCATGACTCATGTGATTCCTTCAGATGACTTAGGTCCACTGAGACCATCTGCTCGTTCTTGGGGAGAAAACACGGGTTCGTGGGAACAGGCAGCGTCCTAAGGCAAAAGCAACTCTGTCGGGTTGATCAGGGTTACTGAGAACCGGGGGACTCACTGTGCGGTGACACAGCCATCTGGAGTGGCAGTAATCCAGCGTCCCGCCCAAGTCCTCCGTCAGCTGGGACTTGTCGATGTAACCGTGTAATTCAGGTACTGAGCTCAGCATTATGACCTGAGGGAGAGCAAAGCCGCCCATAAGCAGACTGCCGCACAGACGCGGATGAGGGGCAGACGGCGCTGCCCAGCTCCACAGTGTCAGACGGGCCAAGAGCCCCCGTGCCTTCCTGTCCGTGGACGGGCGTGTGAGGACTGGTCTCACCAGACGACAGCATCTGGGGCAAGCAAACCCTGGGCCGCCGACACCAAGCATCTGATGGGCCAGGGGCCCGCGGGCAGTGGACCGTGCAGACACCAAAGCCACCGGGCTGTCCGTGTTCCCGCTGACACCTGGGAGGCTGCTTGGAGGCGGAGGCAGTGGAGGACCCACCGTGGCACAGCAGGCCTTGTGGAGAACAGGTGCCCAGGAACAAGGGTTGTTTCCTATCTTGCTTTTGCCCTGGTGAGGTCATTCTATCCACAAGCCTCGGATAAAGCACAGCCTTTGCTTTGCAAGCTGTCAGGCGCCGCCACGGAGGTCCTGGAGGCACAGCCCTGGGCTACTCGACACCACCTTGTGTTTTATTAAACACTGTGCTGGCTGGGGGCCCAGGGGACATCGGAGGGGAGTCAACCCTGACTGTCACCGCGTGGGGGCGGCTGGAGGAGAGGCGGTGCTGCAAGGTCCCCCCAGCACAGGCCAGCCCCCCGCGGAGGGCACCAGCCCAAGCCGTGCAGGGGCCCCTGCTGTGCGGCCGGCGCCGAGGCTGGATGCCAGTTCTCGGCAGAGACGGCTGTTCTCTCCATGCCGTCCAGGGAGGTTGTTCACCCGGCTCGCCCTGCCCCACGGCCGGCAGGACCAGAGGTGGGCTGGTCCCCAACCCGGGGCTCTGGGGTACTTCCTGCATGGGTCCCGCTGCTCCGTGTCTCCTGAACCATGACAGAAAAGGCCCAGACCCGCCGTTTCTCCTGACATCTTCCGCTCAGCACCGAGGTCGGCACACGGCGCCAGCCTCTCTGAGACGATGCCCTCTGTGACTATGAGGGGTTATCTAGAACCGGCCAGTGCACCAAGGGGCCAGCGCTGAATTCTGTGCTGCTATGTTTGAGGACTCGCGGCTTCGGCCCTGGTGCCGAGTACAGGCTGACCGCACACTGAGGACAGAGACCCCAGCCCAGTTTTCTTGTTTCTTCTGACGAAGGTCCATTGGTTAGCCAGGGTCTCTTGCCAAATGTGGACCAATGTCCCTATCTGACAGGGGCCCGGAAACAGTGCTGCCAGGAGGTGGCTCCACGCAGGGAGGGCGGGGGGATGTCCCACCAGGGAGCACAGACCCCCCACAGCGTCCGCGGTCTCAGGGTCGGACCACCAGCCTCCAGCCGGCATCCTCCACCCCTAGGACATCACCCAGGAGAGGGACTGTCAGAAACCAAGGCTGTTTGATGCTACACAAATGGTAGGGGCACCCATCCCCTGCCAAACCTGGAGCCCAAGGGTTAGGGCTGCTGAGCAGGGCCTGCACACCTGGCCCCCAGCCGGGCAGAGCGCCTCCATCTGTGCCCCGAGAACAAGGGACAACCTCGCGGATGGCGACCCACCCCCGGGATGCTCATACTCCCAGGAGGAGTCCGGTGGTCTTGCTGGAGAGGTTTCAAGGCGCTGGGTGTGGGCCCCTGTGTCCCTGTCCTCTGTTCAATGACCGCATTGCCGGGGAGCCCCCTCCTCACTGCTGAGACCTGGCGTGATGCAGGTTGCCCTCCCCGGGACACAGGCTTCGTGGGGACACAGTTCTTAAGGGACTCTATGCAGGCTCTGCCTTTTACAGGAAGATTGGCAGATGCCGGGGTGCCCCGTGCTGGCCGGAGTAGGGAGGTGAGGCAGGGGCCCCTCTGCGGTCTGGGGGTCACTCACACCCATGAGCCTGGCGCCCCCATCCCCGGGGAAAGCCAGGCCACTCCTCACAGGAGGTGGGCAGAGGGCACTTACCGGTACCTTCATCTTAAAGTCATCTCTGTTGAACCTGAAGGCGAGGTCAGAGAGTGTCCTCTGGAAAAATCCCGTTGGGCGCAGGACAAGGACGAGCTGCAGGTTAGCCGGGAAGGACGCCTGCGGGAAAGCAGGGGCTGCGGCTCCGTCCATGGGCAGCGTGGCCGCGGGCCCGGGTCCCCACCCCCACAGCCGACCACGCGCCCCACGGGGAGCACTCAGCCCCCTGGTCTGACGTTCCTACATGCCAACGTCACACTAAGGTCAAAGCGGAGAGAGACCGTGGACTCTGTCAGAGCATCGCCACGCCCTGAGGAAAAGGGGAAAAGTCACACTCTGGTACAACTGTGTTACGCTGCTTTTCAACTTAAAAGTCAAAAGCTGTTACGGTGGAACGGCGTCTCCCCAAATTCTTACGCTGAAGCAAACCCCAGGGCCTTGGAATGTCTTCAGGGTCTTCACAGGGGTGACCGAGCTAAGACGAGGTGACTGCATCCTTATGGATACAAGGGGACGTGTGGACACAGAAGCACACGGGGTGCCGTGTGAGGACGGAGGCCGACCCAGGTAACACCGCAGCACGCCAGGGGTCTCCAGGAGCCGCTGACACTGGGACAGCACGAGACAGACCCTCCCGCAGGACCTCGGAGCGCCCGCCTGCCACACCTGGATCTCGGACCCTGACCCTGGCTGTGAGAGAGCAGCCTACCGGCCTTCGGTGTTTGCTTGGGCAGCCCAGGAAGCTAAGACACTTGTCAGATGGAAACACGGCCACGTGTGCACACACGTGCTGCCCAGAACACAGGGAACACAGCTCGCCCGCCCCACAGCCCCCGAGACGCGGTTATGTGGGCAGATCCGCGTGCTCACAGAGCTCTGCTTCTGCAGCCTGTGCCCGCCGCCCCCCCGCGGCGTCTCCCGCAGCCAGGACCAGGGAAGCTCTGTGCCGCGGCCTCCCCGTCTGTCAGTGGGAACAGGGTGCCTTCCTCACCGCACGTGCCTGAGGGCTCAGGAGCCAGCCAGGGAGAGGCTGGGCCAGGTGCATGGCGACCCCGGGTCTGGGGCTGGATGCGGCCTCAGCTGAGAGCCAGTCCGTCGCGCGGGCAGAAACACAGAGACAGAGGCCGCAGGAGCTGGGCCGGGTCTGGACGCGGCCCGTCGGCCAGCACTGGCGGCCCCCCGCGGGGCAGGCGGCACACACAGGAGCCCGCATCCAGGGCCTGGGCTCTCCCCTCCTACCCGGCCGGCCCCAGGCCGGGTCCTGCCCTCCCTCTGGAGTCCATCCAGAACCCCCTCCTCTCCTGCCGAGTCCGTTCTCCACGGAAGTGCCGTAACCCCCTGGGGACGTCAGCCAGGTTGCGGCAGCCTCTTGCTCGGAACTCCCAGAGACGCCCCCCACCAACGCTGCAAGCACACCCGGAGCCCAGACCCAGCCGGTGGAGGCCCTTGATCCCAGCGCCACCCTGACGCGGCTCCCACACCCAGCCACCGGCCTGGCACGTCCATGGGTCAGGGAGGCCTTCCAAGTCTGGTCACGGCAGGTCCTCCTTCTGAGGACTCTCGCCTTCCACCCTGGAGCCAGGCATGGTGTGGCCACGGCCGCACAGCCCCGGGCCTCGCCCTCCCACTGTCTCGGGGCGGTTGCTGTCTCCAAATGGGATGTGCGTCTTCAGGCTGGGCCTCGTGGCCTGTTCCCACCACTCCCCCTGCGGCGTCTCCCTCCTGCCCTCATGCTGGGGCCGCCCGTTCTGAGCTCGAGCCACTCTCACCAGGGCCTGTGCGGGTCCTTGCCCCTATCCCGACCTCAGTCCCCTCTGTGGGGTCTTCATCCCACGAGTGAACCACGAGTGAACCACGAGTGCTGTGGACAGAGAAGAGGAGGGGGAAGGCAGGTGCCCGAGAGGGTGGGCTCCAGGTTCCTGTGAGCAAGAAGGCCGTGCAGTCCACCACCACCAGGCCTGAGACTGGCCGCCGCTATTTCAGGAAAACCTCCTTCAGGGTCTCCTGCAGGCGACACCGAGCCACACTTGCCTAACTCTCAGTGCAGTGTTGTCGCCCTGATTCACACCTCACGGCAGTAAGGACTGGTCTGAACTGAGAAGGTGACACTTGTCCTCTCCTGCGACTTCACTGAGATCGACTCAAAGCAGGCGGCAGGAAAACACGTGGTGGGGGGCTCGCCCACCCGTCCCTGGGGGACCTCGCCCTGGAGAAGATGCTCTCTCCCGCCCCCTCTGTTTGGGTCTTTACGTTACAGAGTAACTGTAAGATCCCAGCTGAGAGATGGCTTCCGTGACCCACGTGACGCCGCAGGTCAAATTCGCTCCTGGCTGGAGTCAGCCATCAACACTAAAACCTGGAAGAAGCTCCAAAATAAAACTTAATTTTACAAACAGAGGTAGCTGGATGGAAGATGTGGGATGAAGGCTATACAATGGCGTTGCTTTGCAACTTAATGATCAAGCAATCAGACGATGATTGTAACTGTTTTCTACGCAATTTCAAAGCAACACTGCTTATTTTCTGGGCTGACCTTGGCTGGCTGAGGAACTGACCGTGATGACCACTGAAACGTCATCTGGAGACAGAAAAAGAGGCACAAGCTGGTTTCTGAATGAATATTTGAGACTTACAAAATGGAAAGTCACCACACGCTTCTACAAAACAGCCAAGGGAGCGAGTGCTCTGGGGAACCCTGGTGATCTGGGGAACACAGTTTGAAAACCATCCCCAAGGGCACTAACTTCCTTAAGTTCTGCTCAAAGCCACCTTTAACCAGCCTGGCTGTATGTTTTACTTCAAACGGAGCAGCCAAAGCCTGACCCACAGTGTTTGATAGTAACCAGAGAACAAACACAGGTTTGTGTAATGAATATGAAGTTGAAACCCCGTGTCTCAGTGCCGACAGATGACAACCCTGGAGTCTGAACCAGAGAGGTCTCCCACCCGGGGCCCCGCGCAGGTGTGGGTGGGCGCGCAGAGCAGGGGTGCCGAGACCACCCTGGGCGAACAGGTGGAGACTTCCATAAGCACCGTTGCGGAAAAGACACTGAAGGAACGCAGCAGCGAGGGCATGCTCTCTGGCTGAAGGGCCATTAAACAGAGTGCTCTCCACGCTGGGAAGCCCATGCCGCCTGCCCTCCTGGGGCACTCTGTGTGGACCTGCACCACCCACCAGCCTGGAGACGGAGCCCCAGGCATCCACCCTGGTGTAGGCGGCCTCGACCCTTGAAGCTGGGGCTCCACCTGCAGCACAGGTGAGTGTATGCAAAGCCACCGCGCAAACAGCCAGGCCGGGAGCTGCCCTAAACCTGGCCTCCCAGGGCGCTGAGGCTCAGCCCTCCCGCAGTGGGAGCTGGTCTCCAAGTAGCCAGGCTGTGCACTTCCCTCGGCAAGGGCGGTGCTATGACCTGCCCCGCCTTGGGGGCCCGTGCTCCCCAGGCCCTCGGAGGAGCCGTGCCCACTGGCCTTCCACTTCCCCCTGAACTTTCCCCGTGTGCACTGAGGGGCGGGTCAGCACCCCTCCTGCCGGACAGCTCCTTCATCCCCTCTGACTCTGACTCTCATTGCGTCACCTTGGCCGGGAAGCCCTCCTGGTGCTCGCACTGCGTCCGTGCTTAGCCCGCCAGCAAGCAGCACACAGTCAGAACCAGCACTGCTCTGCCACATTTAGGGTATTTGCTAGATGACCTAGAATCCTGGGTGCCACAGATACTTCATTTTGCACCTTTTCTGCGCACAGAGGGCTTCGACCTTACAGGCAAACCCCATGGTCCTGCCCCACACAGCCGATGAATGGCTTTAACTGTGACCTCCTTCAGCAGTGTGCTCCAGGGGACAGATTCAGCTGAGCCAGGCTGGCTCCAAACACAGATGAGCACTCTGTTACAATGTCCCTGAACGCACGCACACACGCTTGCATGCACACGTGTGGTTTACAAGAAGGAGGTTAAATTTTAAATGGAGTCCTGGAAGAGCACGTGTGGTATTTAACCAAAGGCATATCCATCCAGGGACAGTCCAAACCCTGAACCAACCGTGGGACAAAGAGCAAGGTTTGAACTCCAGTTTTGGGTCCTGTCCGCTGGCCGTAGCCATGAACTGTGACAGGAAAACATGCACTTCACCCCGACGCCCTGTCAGAGCTGACGCAGCCTCTGCCCGAGGGGGACGCAGCAAAGGCTGACTTCAGGGGCACTGCACGCAGTCCCTCCAATGTCTTAGTTTCTGTTCCAAGCCAAGCTGAAGGCGTCCAAAGAAGAAAAAGGAAGCTCAGCTCACGAGGTGGCATACACGGTGGCTTAAAATAGCCCCGAATTACAGCGCAATGTGTAAGGGCCGAGGCTCACACAGGCGGCCAAACACACTGGATAAACAGAGCCTCTCGGCCACCGGCCTGCTTCTGTGGCACCTGCAGCCCTGGTGGAATCGTCCAGGCCAGAGGGCCAGTGTGCGCAGGTGTCCCCTCCAGAGCTCCAGCCCAGCTGGCACCATGCGGTCGTTTCCTCAGAGAGCCTTGGGGGAAAGCACAGGCCAGGTCTAGGCCCACAGCCCAGGATGGCATCTGTGTGCCAGCTCCGTCCCCCAGCTCCCCTGCCCACGGACGAGGTGGCAGCTCTGTCCCCCAGCTCCCCTGCCCACGGACAAGGTGGCAGCTCTGTCCCCCAGCTCCCCTGCCCACGGACGAGGTGGCAGCTCTGTCCCCCAGCTCCCCTGCCCACGGACGAGGTGGCAGCTCTGTCCCCCAGCTCCCCTGCCCACGGACGAGGTGGCAGCTCTGTCCCCCAGCTCCCCTGCTCGGGGACGAGGTAGCAGCTCTGTCCCCCAGCTCCCTTGCCCACGGACAAGGTGGCAGCTCTGTCCCCCAGCTCCCCTGCTAGGGGACGAGGTGGCAGCTCTGTCCCCCAGCTCCCCTGCCCACGGACGAGGTGGCAGCTCTGTCCCCCAGCTCCCCTGCCCACGGACGAGGTGGCAGCTCTGTCCCCCAGCTCCCC